CCATCTCCTGCATTGGCCGGTTCTTTACCAGCAGCACCACCTGGGAAGCCCACCCTTCAACTAACTCTGGTTTGCATTGCTCAAAAAACTCATCATAAAAAAGCCTTTTGATGAAAGCAGTACATTATTTTAGGAGATGTCAACATTTTCTCTGACATTGTTTTATCTTCTGGGGCACGTGTGTTTAAATCTCAGCTTCACTAATCCTGCTCAAGGCTGCTTGTGGGAGAAGCGCTTAATCTCCGATCCACACCTGTCATGTTACACATCTCATTTTATGATTTAGGAAGAGATTCTCACTGGAAAAGGCCATCAGTGACATCATGATAAATTCTGGTCAAGCCCTTCAAAACATCCACTTAAAATGTGTTGTTAGTTGCAACAGAACTTTTGAAATTTCCTAGGTTCCAGGCTTTTCTCTGTTAATAAGTATGTGGTCTCTAAAGTGAGTGTCCCTTGAAAGTAACTTATGCTTTTATATGTATCTCACCATTCTAGGGCTCAAAGACACAGGATGATTTCAGACTGATGTTAGGTGTCCTAGCTTAATGATGAAGGGAATCACATTTGAGAATGCCATTTCTTTGGCTGTCCACAGCCTTTAGTATGCCTGTCACGTCTCTCCTGAGGAGCGTCCAGACGTCCCACACACTGTTCTTTCATTTCAATCCCTCTCTAGCTCCTGAAGGGAAGTCACGTGGGTCTTCCCCCTGTGCCCTGGATCCAGCTCCTGTGGCCCTGGCTCCCTGTTTCTCTGGGTGCTGAAATGGTCTTCACATTGCTCGTGATTCTCCTTGTCCCAGGGAGAGCATTCCTCTCCCAGCCAGCTGACAGTCTTTCTTCATGGAGAACAGAACATTCATCCTCACTGCAAGGAGTCTCTCTCAGTTGACCTGTAAGCGGTCCCTTTCTGACTGACTCTGGGAGATCTTATAAAATTCACTTCTCCTTTTAGCTCTTGCCAAAGTGGAACTCAGATTTGTTCTTGCCCAGAATGACAGTCTTTTCTGATGACCGTCTATCTGTATCTTCAGCAACACGCAATTACATGGATAAATTAGCAATTCAGAGGCCAAAGAGTCTGCCAAAAGAGTCATTTAAAAAGCCCAGAGCATCTTTTTTTTTTCTTTCATTTTATTTTTTATTTATTTTTTATTTTTTTTCTCCCAATTATTTTTATTAGCTGGAGGCTAATTACTTTACAATATTGTAGTGGTTTTTGCCATACATTGACATGAATCAGCCATGGATTTACATGTATTCCCCATCCTGAATCCCCCTCCCACTTCCCTCCCCATCCCATTCCTCTGGGTCATCCCAGTGCACCAGCCCCAAGTACTTGTCTCATGCACCCAACCTGGACTGGCAATCTGTTTCACAATTGATAATATACATGTTTCAATGCTATTCTCTCAGATCATCCCACCCTCGCCTTCTCTCATAGAGTCCAAAAGTCCGTTCTACACATCTGTCTCTTGTTCTGTCTTACATATAGGGTTATCGTTACCATCTTTCTAAATTCCATATATATGTGTTAGTATACTGTATTGGTGTTTTTCTTTCTGGCTTACTTCACATCCACCTCATTAGAACTGATTCAAATGAATTCTTTTTAATGGCTAAGTAATATTCCATGGTGTATAAGTACCACAGCTTCCTTATCCATTCGTGTGCTGATGGGCATCTAGGTTGCTTCCATGTCCTGGCTATTATAAACAGTGCTTCGATGAACATTGGGGTGCACGTGTCTCATACACACTGGTTTCCTCAGTGTGTATGCCCAGGAGCGGGATTGCTGGGTCATATGGCAGTTCTATTTCCAGTTTTTTAAGAAATCTCCACACTGTTCTCCATAGCGGCTATACTAGTTTGCATTCCCACCAACAGTGTAAGAGGGTTCCCTTTTCTCCACATCCTCTCCAGCATTTATTGCTTGTAGACTTTTGGATAGCAGCCATTCTGACTAGCGTGTAATGGTACCTCATGAGGTTTTGATTTGCATTTCTCTGATAATGACTGGTGTTGAGCATCTTTTCATGTGTTTGTTAGACATCTGTATGTCTTCTTTGGAGAAATGTCTGCTTAGATCTTTGGCCCATTTTCTGATTGGGTCATTTATTTTTCTGGAATTGAGCTATAGGAGTTGCTTGTATATTTTTGAGATTAATTCTTTGTCTGTTTCTTCATTTGCTATTATTTTCTCCCATTCTGAGGGCTGTCTTTTCACCTTGCTTATAGTTTCCTTTGTTGTACAAAAGCTTTTAAGTTTCATTAGGTCCCATTTGTTTATTTTTGCTTTTATTTCCAATATTCTGGGAGGTGGGTCATAGAGGATCCTGCTGTGATTTATGTCAGAGAGTGTTTTGCCTATGTTCTCCTCTAAGAGTTTTATAGTTTCTAGACCAGAACATCTTAAAATAAATTGCTTTGCTTTCATAATTGATATTTAGCATTATAGGCATCACCATTATATATAAAAGAAAAAAAAAATAGAGGTAGTTTCCTCTGCCCCTCAAAGTGAATTTGGTGTTTACCTTGAGGCTTGTATTTAAATCAAATATCTAAAACTTAGCCTCCAGATGAAATGAGTATCTCTTGAGGCAATAATACACATGCATATGAACAGAGCTTTTATCTAGATACATTTGGAAGAAAAGACTATTACTCCATTGAAAGTGCTAGTCACTTAGTCATGTCTGACTCTTTGTGACCCAATGGACTGTAGCCCACCAGGCTCCTCTGTTCATGGAATTTTCCAAGCAAAAATACAGGAGTGGGTAGCCATTCCCTCTCCAGGGGATCTTCGCAACCCAGGGATCGAACCCGGGTCTCCTGCCCTGCAGGTGGATTCTTTACTGTCTCAGCCACCATTGTTCCATTAAATAAATATAAATGTCTTGTGGAATAGAGTGCAAAGATGACATTTTTTAAAGTATAAAACCTAGATTCATAATACAGAGTCTCCCTTAGGCCACTTTCTCTACTATGCCAGGGGGGGAAAACCTCAAGTGTGAAACCTTCACACTAATCCCACAGTGCTCACTGATAAACTTTCTACATTCTCAGTGAGTATTTGATGTACTAAGTAAGTTTTAGCAGTTTCGAATAGAATATGAATGAAAGGTACTATTTTTCTGTGGGTGCGGTGAAACTCAACATACCACCCAAAACGTGGGCGAGCTCCTGCCAGTCTTCTCTTGCATGTTATTTGGAAGATATTTTATGAACTCCACTGTGAGTTTATGCTGCTGACCAAACAGAACGTGAGTGGTGGTAAGAGGGTTTCCCACAGAGAACCGACTAGCTGAGTAAATGCTATTGAAGTAAATAACTGTATAAATAGTATCAAATGCGACGCTTAGAAGGTCACCGAGCCCTGGCCACTTAACTTCAACCACAACAGCAACCAGCTGTTCAGTGGACAATTTTGTTATGAGGTGTTAGTGATTTAACAAGTTGGCCCCGAGTAGTTGGAATTTGGCGTGAAAAATTTCATCTCTGTTGGGTTTTACTGTTGCACACTGGACTTTTTCTTGGCAGAATGGCCAAAGTTCCTGCCTTTGGTATTCAGGAACCCAAGGAGAACGCAGTAATCACTTTTCTATGGTATTTTCCACAATTTTTTTTTTTTTTTGGTGGTTTGTGTAGGGTTTTAAAAAGCTTTGCAAAAAACACTACTAGGATGTCTTGTTTACTTTTTAGAGTCTCTCCAATCTGTTGTCCTGAATTTTACCATTGAAGTATATACACTACTTTGTGTAAACTAGATAGCTAGTGGGACGTTGCTATATCACTACAGGGAGCTCAGGCTGGGGCTCTGTCATGACCCAGAGGAGTGAGACAGGAGGGTGGGAGGGAGGCTCAAGAGGGAGTGGATATATGTGTACTTATAGCTGATTCACAGTGCTATGTGGCAGAAACCAACAGATCGTTGTAAAGCAATTATCCCCCAATTAAAAAAATAAAAGCTAAAAAAAACCCAGTATTTTAAATGTGTTATAGAATGTATTATACCTTTACACTATGTGAAAAATTTATCTTATGTAATAAAAAAATTTTAGTCAGATTATAAGAATGGGCGTATGTACTCTGCAGAATAATACCTTGCACGGTAGAACGGGAACACCAGTGTGGGGTCACAGAAAGTGTGTTTGGTAAACTTAAGCGCAAACACCACCTAACTGAGTGGTTTTGGACAATCACTTCCCTTCTTAGTATTTGTTTTCTGTCCAAGAGCTAACACTTGGTGAGAGTCACATTGGTGCTTTGGACATTTCTTAAATGCAAATGGGTATGTCCTCAAGATATACCATTTACTTGCAGAACTAGTGAACATTCCCAACTCACTGAATGACTAAAAGAAATGAGAGTGAAGCAAGCTAACGTTTGCATGAAACCAGGAAGTTACTAAGTTCACTTTTTTCTTTTCTTCTCTAGTCATCTCTTATATGGCTGCCTATTTACTTGGCCAAGAAAATGGAATCCCTGACCTTCAAATACCATGTATTAAGTGTTTGTAACTTGCAGAACATTGAGTTAAATATAGATTTTCCAGCAGTGGCTGGCGGGGAGTGGGAGAGGGGGATGCTCTCTGATCTCATGGGGCTTGTAGTTGAGCATAGAAAATGGAAAATTAACAACATTCAAAATAATATGTCGTGAGGACTATGACATAATCCCACAGTTGCCTTGCGAATTCTAGATTCTAAATAAGGTCTGTTTCCACATATTCTTGAGCATGTGTGATCCAGATGGATTATGGGAACATCTCATCTAGTGTAATTTTTCAGTTTTCCCCAGAATGTTCACCAGAAGTGACCGCTCTGATGACATGCAGCTTTAATTTCCCTGGGGGGAGTCCAGTCTCTGTGTGAAAAAGCAGTTAAAATGAACTCATGTACAATTGGGAGGAGAAGAGTCAAGTGCTAGTTTAATTGCCACAGAAAAGCAGACGTGCCAGAATCGCTCATTGTTTGCCCTTCATCTATCCTGTCTTTTAGGACATCTGCTTGGCCTCTCCCATGACGATTCCAAGTTCTGTGAAGAAAATTTCGGCTCCATGGAAGATAAGCGCTTAATGTCTTCCATCCTAACCAGCATCGACGCATCCAAACCCTGGTCCAAATGCACCTCAGCCACCATCACAGAATTTCTGGATGATGGCCACGGTAGGTACAGTTCCACAGGCTCAGAAACAAAACCTCATTGTATCCTCCTGGTGTTCACTTTGCCCTGTAAGACAATGGTTGCTGAGACAGTGTCAGAAAAAGGAACAAGGGGGTCTGTCTACTGGTATGGAATGCCAACATCCTTGGTGGCATTATAGCTATGGTATTTTTTGCTTTTGAATTGCTAAGTTCAAAGAGAAGCAGTGTAGGAGACCACACAGAAGGCCTCCCTGGTGCCCTGAAAGCCTGGCTTTTATTCCCTCTTTGACCACACCAGCTTCCTGTGAGAATGTTGGCAGATATCTCATTTCCCTGTTATTAATAGGACTCTCAGAATTATTTGTTACATGCTTATTATAAAGGTATGGTTAGAATGTAAGTGACAATTCCGTCAGATTCTCTTTATGGCAGCGTAAAACCAAGAAAGGAAGCTCTATAGATCTACACTCACTACAAGACTTGGCTTCACCCTGGCAGCCCGTTCTCCTGAAAGTGGAGTAAAAGCTGCAGAAACAGAAATAGAAAATCAATCTGAACCGTGAGAAAACAGTTTAAGAACTTCAAAAGAAAATCTTTGGCTTTATCCTCTAAATGGAGTTCAAGAGCGCAGCATACTTTATTGAGGTCTATTAAATCTAGGATTAGTGCCGTAAATTATATCAAAATACCAAGGAAGTCACAATTTTTAGAAATAATAAATTCTGACCCTGAAGTAATCTCTGAAACAAGCTATTGCTAATTTCCTAGCATCCCTGTTACCTTAAAATACTGGAAACACAGGCAAATAAATGAGTTAAATTGGAAGAGATTTTCAGAGACCGCAGAGTTCCAGTTTCTTATATTACATGTGTGTGTGCTCAGTCACTTCAGTCCTGTCCTACTCTTTGACACTATGGACCTTTTTGCGACCCTTTGGACTGTAACCCACCAGGCTTCTCTGTCCATGGGATTCTCCAGGCAAGAATATTGGAGTAGGTTGCTATTTCCTTCTCCAGGGGATCTTCACAACACAGGGACTGAACCCACATCTCCTGCATATCCTGAGTTGCAGGCAGATTCTTTACCCACTGTGCCACCTGAATGGACATATTCCCATTCCTTTTCTTTCCTCTTAAAATTTATTTCTTTCTAAAACTGATGGTTGAAGTAAATGGGACAGAAATTCTTGATCATGATAATTGTTTACAAATTTATCTCAGGATATGGTTCAAAGCTGGATAAAGAGAATCTGGGGTAACTATTTTTCCCTAGTTTCACAGCAATTAAAGCTTGATATTTTTGTAATTTCTTAGTGAGTTTGCCATCTTGAGCTTTGGCTACATAATTACAAAACAATTAGTAAATTCAGTTCTTTTCAGACAAAAGGAAATTCTACTATATAGCCTTTTGTTGTCTTATAGCCAAAATGTTCACAGACTCATTTTTGCTATGTTAATGGTGAACTGATAATGCTTTAGCTACTTCCGACTATTTAAATTTCCTGTTCCTGAAAACAATCCCTACCCAGCTTGCTTTAAAATTTCCCTTAACACAAAATAAATGTTCTTTGTTAGTTGAAAAGATGGCCTAATATCTCAAAGATTTAGAAACAATTTCAAGAATCGATGTATTAGGTTTATCTTAGACTAATAATAAAGTGGTAATTTTCTGTTTAGTTAGCTCAGTTTAAAATGTTGAGTAAATGCAGAGAGTCCTGAGATGAATACTTACCTAATTATCTGCCTACCTATTGATCAAGTCCATATCTAGTAACATTTCTTCTTAGGTGGAATCTTAGTTCCCACTCTTAAGTTACTTTTACTGTTTTTTTTTTTCAGCTTTTGTGAATATGGAATAACATTAATATTTTATTTTAGAATCCCGCATTACACATTCCAAAAGGTTGAGCTAAACTTTGAATCACTAAATGAACAGATTTAGTTGCTAAGGCAGCAAATACTTATGGCTAAAATGGGACCAACTTTTTTTTTTTTTTTCCTGTATAAGTATTAGGTCAGCTAATTACAATGCTGTGCAAAATCTTGTTTCTTATTGCCATATTTCTGGAATGATTCATTTATTTCATGTTTGTGGAATTCATGATTTTACTTTCTGTGCAGTAAAGATGCTTCCAGTATTGTTTTCACTTTCTAAATCTCATTTCTGTATTTAAAAGAGTCTACACTCAGATTTTTAAGAATTTTACAACAAATTTTATACATCTTTCTGCATCTGCTCCAAAGGATCTCCTGGTAGATAACCACCAAACGGTACTTTTACTAGAAATAGATCTCATTCATTTGCACTGAGAAAATTCTTATTAACTTTCCCATTTATATGTTAATTAAATAAATAAATTTCATTACCAACATTTTTTGGACAGGAAATTTTCATAATATAGTTATTCATTCATTCATTTCATCAAAACCTAGATTCTCACTTTTGAATGTTGAGTAAGCAGTTTTGTGTTTTAACTAACCCTTCAACCCCATTTCGCCCACCAAAAGAAAACTGATTTTATGATAAGAGTCTAAAAAAGGCACTGTAACTGTGACACAGTGGCAAGATCATTTATATTCATTTCAAACCTAACCTATGCATGCTCAGTCATGTCCTACTCTTTGCAACCCCATGGACTGTAGCCCACCAGGTTTCTCTGTCCATTGGATTATCCCAGCAACAATACTGGAATGGATAGCAATTTCCTTCTTCAGGGGATCTTCCTGATCCAGGGGTCAAACCCGATTCTCCTGTGTCTCATGCGGATTCTTTACCGCTGAGCCGCCAGGGAAGCATTCATTGAAAAACAGATACAGAATCAAAGCTACAATCTCTATGTAGCACTGTCATTTAAGCGTCACTTTAAATACCTTAATAACTTTTAGATTGCAACCAAAAACTGACTTAAGTCAATTCAACTGAGAGTGTGGCGATAGGAATTAGTCAGCGGGATTTTGAGATGGTGGCCATTCTGACCTTTCAACTTCAGAGCTTAGGGGAGAATCAAGAGGACCGTCAAAGCCCAGGACAATGGAAAGACAAACAAAAGCAAACAAACACACATCTTTGTTAGAAGACTAAGCTGATGTCATGAAACCATATCATCAAACCTTCCTTTTCCATCTACTCCTAGGGAACTACTTGCATGCAGACCCCATTCATTCATGAAATGGAATGAAGTAGGAGTGAAATGGTTCTGATTTTCCTAGGCCACTGACAATTTAGGGCTTCCCTCATAGCTCAGTCAGTAAAGAATTTGCCTGCAATGCAGGAGACCCAGGTTCGATTCCTAGGTTGGGAAGATCCCTTGGAGGAGGAAATGGCAACCCATTCTAGTATTCTTGCCTGGAGAATCCCATGGACAGAGGAGCCTGGCGGGCTACAGTCCATAGGGTCGCAAAGAGTTGAACACAACTAAGCGACTTAGCACACACGCATGCAGAGTACCTAGAAAATCCATTTCTGTAATTGCTTACCTGTCTCCTTCCCACCTCCAGCAATGCTGGAGAAATGAGTCCTTAGAGTACAATTTAATTTGTATCATTTGAGTTTTTTTTTAAAGTATTAGCCATAAGTAGCTAGACATGTGTAGCACTCTACCACTGCCAGATTTAAATTTATTAATATTGAGTGCTTTCTGATTTAGTTCCAACAAGAAATGCACAGCAATTAGGTTATGATTGAAAATTCAGTTTGCACACTCTAAAATAACTGGGCCTGCAAATTTGTGATTCAGAAAGGAAGAAGTCATGTCTTATGGGGGACCTTCTCCCCACCCACAACCCCAGCCTGGCCAAGATACTTGTAACTTTCTGCAGTGTTTATACAACCTAGCTCTAGGCAAATTGGCTTAGGAGTATGATCCTCAAAAATAAAGGTAAGCACTGGCAGAGAAATTGCTTAGCAAAAGCAAGTTATTAAATTTCCTTTCTCAAATGCTTAATAATCTTGAAGCCAAAAATAATAGCCGTGTCCCCTGGATCCCTGAGTCCCCAATGCCAGGTGATGAGAAAGGGTCACTGCCTAAGCAGATACAACTCAAGCACACCCAAGACACAGGCTGCTAAGGAAAAGCTATAGACATCTTTGAAAAATTCATATTTAAAGAACTAAGTTTGCAGCCACTTACTGAACACACAACTTTAGAGAAAAAGTGGTATTAAAGAGCCATTCTCTTAATCCTTTGTAAATATAGATAGTAGAGGTCATAATATGATCTTAACATTTGGTTTTTAAGGTCTTATGAAATTCAAAGCCCACTATGGTGGCCTCTTGATTTTTCACAGTAAATATGTTAACAGAGACTGCAAGTAAGACATGAATTTTAAGTCCACAGTGACCTCTGTTTAAAAAGCTAATCTTCATCCCCAAACACAGAGAATTTTTAGTCGAAATTTCCATGGCATAACATCTGCTAAACAGTGTACTAATACTTCTCACAGTTTCACAAACAGATCTCTTGAATTACCTTGGCCAGCAAGTAATGTCTGTGGCTTTGTCATCGCCCAAGTTAAAGGGCTTCTCTAGCGGCGTCCCTTTAGCTCAGATGGTAAAGAATCTGCCTGCAATGCGGGAGACCTGGGTTTGATCCCTAGGTTGGGAAGATCTGCTGGAGAAAGTAATGGCAAGCCACTCCAGTATTCTTGCCTGGAGAATCCCATTGGATAGAGGAGCCTAGAGGGCTATACTCCATGGGGTTGCAAAGATTTGGACATGACTGAGCGAGTAACACTACTACTAGTGGCTCAGTAGTAAAGAATCCTCCTGCCAATGCAGGAGATGTGGGTTTGATCCCTGGGTCAGGAAGATACCCTGGAGAAGGAAATGGCAACCCATTCCAGTACTTTTGCCTGGGAAATCCTATAGACAAAGGAGCCTGGCAGGTTACAGCCCATGGGGTCACAAAAGGGTCAGAAACAACTTAGGGACTAAACAACAAGCAACAGGTTAGTTTATCCATCACTGAACCCATGATGCATCAGTGTCTCTTTTAATGTTAGACATTGAAATAAAGACCTCAAAGAAGAGTTACAAGACCAGAGAAATGATGATAAAGAAAAGAGTTTGTAATGTTATGAGGGTTCTTTGAATGAGTTTTATTAGGAATATTAATTTATTTCTCCTAGGCCAAGAATATTTGGGCCACTGTGTGTGTGTTGGGGGTCGGGGGGGCGGGCACACTACTCGGCTTGCAGGATCTTGTTCACTGACCAGGGATCCAATCCAGGCCCCTAGCAGTGGAAGCATGAAATCCTAACCACTGGGCCACCAAGGAATTTTCTATTTGGGTCAATTCTTAATTTCATGTGTGTGTATTAAAAAGGAAGAGAAGATAGAAATAACTACAGTGCTAGAAATGGCGGGGGGGGCAGAAAAAGAATAACTGACCTTCATGTGATAATTTCATTAATCATTAATATGAAAGATGAACAGTGACACCAGTCAGATATAAAAAAGAAAGACTTTTCTGCTCGATTTCCTGGAGCATTACCTTCCATCACCCAAAAATGTATTTTATGGTCATGGGGTATGACCACATTATTCTCTTTATTTGTTCATCGCAAATCACTGAGTCTTACTTTTTAAACTTTTCACCTTACTTAAAGCATTTAATTTAACATGGATAGTGAAAACAAATTTGCAATATGCACACATTTTCATTGTCTTTACACAGAATGTTAAGACAGAAGAAAAGAAGGAAGGAAAAGAGATGGGGAAAGAAAAGGAAAAAAGAACTTGGCAATTTTATGGAGCAAATAAATAGACAAAATGTTGGCAGAGAAGTCCAGATGGGATTTCAGGCTAAGATAAATCTTGAAATATGTAAAGAGATGGTTGAGAATAAAAGTATGGCGATTAAGAAAAGTCAGCAATAGACTGGACACTTTTAGAGGTCAATTTAAATGGTATTAAAAGACTGATCAATTTCCTTGTCACCTCTCCCCAAATTGTACACATTTTTTAGGTGAAAGATGTATATCTAATCCTCTGTTACTTAGATCTTAAATATTTCATATCGTGAGACGCAGAATCAAACTGTATTTTTATTTTTTTCTTGTTCCCTGGCCCCAGTCTGCCATTTGGTGGCGCTGTCTATACCTATTTTATCACCAAATGACATGTCAACATATAAATGAAATCGATCGACTGTAGATTTCAGTGTTATCAGAAACTAATGCAGCAATAAATCCTAATGTTGACAACATTAAAGTCATACGTAAAAGGCAAATCTGAATAAAATGGTTTTTTTTTTAAGCAAGAACAGCTCCTCTCCAAATGACCCCTAAGGGAAAACCACAGAGCTAAATATGTTGGGTTTTTTTTTTAATAGTCAAGCAAATATGTTATACATTTTTAAAACTTTTATACTTTGGTGTTGAGCTTCATAGGCTTCCCTGATGGCTCAGTGGGTAAAGAATCCACCTGCATTACAGGAGACACAGGAGACACAGGTTCGATCCCTGGATCAGCAAGATCCCCTGGAGAAGGAATTAGCAACGCACTCCAGTATTCTTGCCTGAAAAATCCCACAGACAGAGGAGCCTGGAGAGCTAGAGCTCAAAGGGTGGCAAGCAGTCAGACATGACTGAGCACGAAATACACATTGAGCTTAAATAAAGAGGGACCACATCTTAACGCCAATTTCCAATTGCCTTGTCCATTTCTTTTCACAAGTCATCTGCCAGGGAGGTTGAAAGGTGTCAGTGCCATATCCATGGGGAGGTGATGAGTTGTTTTGACTTGGGGAAAAGCAATGTCGACCCATGCCACAGGCACCCACACGTGTTAAATACTTGCCAGCTGATATTTAGTCACCAGTGTTACACTTTGTGATTTTCAGTGGAAAAAAAAAAAAATTCATCAAACAGTACTTTGGAAAAGCATTCTTGATGGCTCAGAGATCTGTTGACAGTCTTCTACCGTCATCAGTCCACTAAGCATTCTCTGCTATACACAGGCTGTTTTTTATGTAGCAGGAAGATAATGCTTTTTCTCGAGTCCGAAGGGCCTCATCTCACTTTATCTTCTAAACAAAGCTTAGTGAGGTTTGACAATCATTCCTTCCTATTGACTTGCTGTTGATGTTTTTCTTTTAGCTTGATGTTTTTCTCCCAAAGTTCTATTTGGCTGGATAGTAAGTTTTAATGCTTTTTCTGGCCTGCCTTAAGAAGCTTTACCTCTTCAAAAGTTCTGGCTCAGAAGTTAAATAGGAACTTTGCTCTTTATTCATTTTCGTATAATGCCTCCATCACAGATTGACAAATTTCAAGGTATTTGCTTTGAAGAAACTTGAGCATAGTTGTAAAAACATTTGCAGTGTACTTAAAATGTGCTGAAATTCCATTTCTCAGTGGAAAATAGGATTTAAACATGGTTTTCTTTTGTTGGATAAAAAGAATAACTCAAAATAAATCTTAAATGTTGTTAAATATGTTGGGCATAGTACCAGTATGATTGTTTTATGTTTTTCTGGTCACCCCTTAATTGCTCTGTGAGCTAATTTTGCCCCTCCAGTGTCACAATGAGAAAAGCAACATTTCATAGATCTTGAAAATAAATTAAGGACAGTGAACTAATTTGGCCAAGAGCACTCAGCCATTTAGTCTTTTGCCAGAATTAGACTTTAGACCGGGTGTTTCTACCATTAGGCCTGGTGTTACCGTTTAAAGGATTCATACACATGCCTGCCCTTTAGCAATAAAATAAGCAGCCTATCCACATGGTAAGCAGAGTCAGGTTTGTATATGATGAGAAGAGCAGGCTCTGAGCATAAAGCCCTAATAGCTATGAGACCTTAGGTAACTGATCCTTAGGTCTTCAGTTCCTCAGTTTCCTTATCTCAAAATAAAGAAAATAATGCTCAAGTTGACCAAAAATTCTGTTCCAGTTTTTCCGTAACATCTATGAAAAACAACACAAATGAACTTCTTGGCCAACACAACAGAATCTGCTATGTAGAATTCTCCTAAAGATTGAATAAACTGATACATTTAAAGAACTGAAAAGAGTGTCCTGCTAAGTTGCTTCCTTGCTGTCTGACTGTGTGTGACCCTGTGGACTGTAGCCTGCCAGGCTCCTCTGTCCACAGAATTTTACAGGCAAGATTACTGGAGTGGGTTGCCATTCCCATCTGCAGAGGATCTTCCCAACCCAGGGATCAAACCTGGGTCTCCTGCATTGCAGGTGAATTCTTTACCATCTGAGCTACCAGTGAAGCCCAAAAAGAGTGTCAGTGTATAACAAATATTCATCATTTTTAGTGTATAAATAATCAGTGTGTAGATCCTAAAATCAAGTAAATAGAAAAGTACTGAAACTGAAAGACAATATGTAAGCTCCTATACAAACTGAGGAAATTAACGGAGTTAACTCACTCGGAAGGAATTTCTTAGGGAAGCTTTCTGGGGAGGGGGAGGTGTAGTTTAGCTTTTGAGTTTGCACTGTCTGTGTGTCAGCTTCTACTGACTCCCCACTCCCTTTCTGACCGCCCCATCACTGTGTACCCAGACACCCTCCAAGGACCCAACAAATACCAATTGCATTCAACAACCGACACAAAGGGCAGAAAAGGGTAAAGAGTGACAAAGCGGGCTCAGTCCCAAGTTATCAGAGATATTTTCCTTTCTTTTCCCACTGCTCTAATACGTGGTGCCTGAAAACTCTTCATTAAAATGCTTTCCGTCTAAGAGAAAGACTTGACTTACTTTGCTTCCTTCAGCTTATCAGGCCTGAAGGGGTGGGTCTGGGTCATTTTTCTGTATTCCCAAATATCTGGTATGTTTGGTAGAACACGGTACATGCTAAGCAGATGCTTACTGAGTGCATCTCATTGTTCTTTATTTATGGAATTAGTGGAAAGGTAACGTGGATGGGGGATGAGCGCATGAAAAAGAGGCAAGAATTGGGGCTGGTAGTGGACAAAGGGGTATAGACAGGGCGCAAGGACAAACTCTCTTTCTCAAAGTTGTGAACACAACTTTATCGTTATTGTTGTTTTTGTTGTTGTGACACCCAGGTGGCACTAGTGATAAACAACCCACCAGCCAGTGCAGGAGACATAAGAGACATGGGTTCAGTCCCTGGGTCGGGACGCTCCCCTGGAGGAGGGCATGGCAACCCACTCCAGTATTCTTGCCTGGAGAATCCCATGGACGGAGGAGTCTGGCGGGCTACAGTCCATAGGGGCGCACAGAGTCGGGCACGACTGAAGTGACTTAGCACACAGCACACACATTGTTATTATACCCACTTTCTGATTTCTGCCAGGTCCATCCCAGTTTGTGTTAGTCCCTCAGCACAGTGGTTATTTTCACAGCTAATTATTGCAAACTTTTATTTTTATCAAAGAAAATTCACTGCCATCATTATGATACCATCATTATGGATACCCCAGGGCACATCATCCATCAGAAATCCTGGTGGGTGTTGGCGAGTTCATGGAGGTGCCCAGCCTCGTCCAGAGAGTCCCCTCGCCGGGGATCTGTGAATGCGATGTGTCTCCACACCAGCCAGAGTCTTGCCTCTTTAGAGCCATCATTTTCAATGTTGGAAACAGAAATGCCTAACAGTGGCCAATCTTGGTTGTTCTTGTAGGTAACTGTTTGCTGGACCTACCACGCAAACAGATTCCGGGCCCCGAGGAGCTCCCGGGCCAGACCTACGACGCCAGCCAGCAGTGCAACCTGACCTTCGGGCCAGAGTATTCCGTGTGCCCCGGCATGGACGTGTGCGCCCGCCTCTGGTGCGCCGTGGTGCGCCAGGGCCAGATGGTGTGCCTGACCAAGAAGCTGCCAGCCGTGGAGGGAACGCCATGTGGGAAAGGGAGGATCTGCCTGCAGGGCAAGTGTGTGGACAAAACCAAGAAAAAATATTATTCGGTAAGTGCTTTTCTTGTCACGCAAGGCCCGGAGCCCCAAGGGCTGAAGTACATTCCTGTGACATGTGGAGGGGACCGTCCCCAGAAGGCTCTGCTTCCTAGTTAAAATATTTTTCCTTGAGGGATCTATTTACCGCTTCCTCTTTTACCCACAGGAGTCATCCTCAGCTGTCAATTACTGGAGAAAATGCCAGTCTCGGGTTATACCCAGTAATAAATAAGTAGAGAGCCCAGATTCTGTCTCATTGAGACCACAAGTAGGGCCCCCGAGTCACTGCTTGGAGTTTGTTTTCAAACTGCTCAAGTTATTGGAACACATTTGTTTCAATTCGGGAAGGAAATCCCAGTGGAGCTGACAGATGATCCTCAGGCATACTTGCCCAGCTCCAAAATGGTCATGTTTTCCCCCTCACTGTGTGCCTGCTGCATGCTTAGTTGCTCAGTCGTGTCCGACTCTGCAGACCCGTGGACTACAACCAGCCAGGCTCCACTGTCTGTGGGATTCTCCAGGCAAGAATACTGGAGTGGGATGCCATTTCATTCCTCAGGGGATCTTCCCAATCCAGGATCAAACCCAGGCCTCCCACCTTGCAGACGGATTCTTTAAGCATCTGAGGCCATGGCAAGTTCATCTAACTTCAGGAACTAAAATAGCCACACCTGCTGCAGGAAGGCACCTGACCTCCCTCCCTGTATACCCAGTCCAGCTTCAGGTCAGCTCCCACCACCTTCACTGTCAAGCAAAGCATTGCTTCCTTCTCACTTGCGACATTTTCAGAGTCCCTGGAAGACCTTTGCCATGGGCACATTGCTTGTGCCTTTCAAGGCTTACTGCCCAAGCTACCAGTCTCAGATACCCTGACACAGACACCCTGAACCATGCAACCAGAGGAGGTTCTCCAGGAATGCCCTTAACAAAGGAGTTTCTAATATCTTCCTTTTGGCATCTCTCGGCTTCCTGCTGCAGCGTTTCCAGAGGAATCAACCTGGGATGTCATCATAGGACTTCATTCCCCGTGGCATGGCTCCATGTGATTGGATACTGTTAGTGTCTGTCCTGTTCCTTTCTACTGGGTGTTAGGAAGTCAAGCTCAGGTCAGATACATTTACACATGAGAGATGGGCTGTGTGATGTCTGCAAAGGGACTGCAGAATTTGAGCGCTCAAGAGGGAGAAAAGATGGAAGCGTAATCAGCCTGGGATCATGCAGCTTCTTTAGCATCACACAGTTCTTTAAAGATGCAAGGTCAGAGTGGACACAGAGTGAACCATGATTCAGTGGTGACGGACAGAAATGCACAGCATCAGAAGGTCCTTGCAGCATGCTCAGTACTTCAGGTGAAGTCTTCAAACCCTCTGGGCTTCACAGGTGGCTCAGTGGTAAAGAATGCACCTGGCAGCCTAGGAGCTGCAGGAGACTCGGGTTTGATCCCTGAGTCAGGAAGATGCCCTGGAGGAGGAAACGGCAACCCGCCCCCGTATTCTTGCCATGGACAGCGGAATAATCCCACGGACAGAGGAGCCCGTAGTGGGCTACAGTCCATGGGGCCACAAGGAGCTGGACAAGAATGAGTGACCAAACACATACCCATTCAGATCCTCTAGTGCTGGGGCAGGGGGCAGGGGGCAGAAAAGGTGGATTGTTTAGAATTGGAATCGCATTGCAATTTCAGAGTGTTCAACATCTGTGACCCTGTTAAACTCAGAGATGATCATGTCTTATCTGCGACGACGTTTCCGCTGAGTCATTGCATGCAAGTGATTTCTAAATATACATTTTGAAAGTTGTCCGCCCTTCTGAGTAAAATATCTCCTGTTTTCTCTTTTAGACATCAAGCCACGGCAACTGGGGGTCCTGGGGGTCCTGGGGCCAGTGTTCTCGCTCGTGTGGGGGCGGAGTGCAGTTTGCCTACCGTCACTGCAATAACCCAGCGCCCAGGAACCACGGCCGCTACTGCACCGGGAAGAGGGCGATCTACCGCTCCTGCAGCGTCACACCCTGCCCGGCTAATGGTACGCTGCTCCCAAGAGTCAGCAACCACCATAGATGGAGTGTCTATTTGTATGGGGCTTCCTTGGTGGCTCAGTGGTCAAGAGTCTGCCTGCCTATCCAGGAGACATAGGTTCAATTCCTGGGTCAGAAAGATCCCCTGGAGGAGGGAATGGCTCCAGGATTCTTGCCTGGGAAATCCTCTAGACAGAGGAGCCTAGTGGGCTACAGTTCATGGGGTTACAAAAGAGTCAGGCACGACTTAGCAACTAGACAACAACAATTTTATTCTAGCAGTCGTCAATAGGAGAGGCTGAAGAAATATCCTATTAATCTTGTACCACACTGTTCCACCAGTGTACAAATCAGTAACAAATACATGAGTGGTTTTTAAATTATCATCATCAACAGTTGAGTGTTCTGGCAGTAGGAAAAAATAATTGCTATTTTCAACTCTGTGGATAAAAACCCTTCAACACTGGTGTGTTGAGAGACTGTAGGAAAAAAAAAAAAAGTTAGCATCTTCTCCTTGAAAGTATTTACATGAATAGAAATGTATCTGAGTTTCAGAACAGAGTAATCATGTACTTTTTTTTTTTTTTTAGGTAAATCTTTTCGTCATGAGCAGTGTGAGGCCAAAAATGGATATCAGTCTGACGCGAAAGGAGTCAAAACATTTGTGGAATGGGTTCCCAAGTATGCTGGTGTCCTGCCCGGAGACGTGTGCAAACTGACCTGCCGAGCTAAGGGCACTGGGTACTATGTGGTGTTCTCGCCAAAGGTAACTGCTCCCAGACTGCCCAGAAAAGCCGGTGTCCTTGGCGGAAGTTATTTGGTAGAATGGAGGCTGCACGTACCAAATGTAAACAGTCATTACTTGAGGGGTGGCTAGATTTTGGAAGGTTTTATTTTCACCTCTGTAATTTCTGTGTTTTCAAACTTGCTACAATGAATCAAAAGGATTTTGTAAACAGAACAAGTAAATGTTTTAAAAGCTATTTTTTGAAAAAGTCTAACTCTGTCAGGAAGATGAGCTGTGACCTTAACTTCAAAATAGTATTCCCTAGGTATGTTTGTAATTTGTCGTGTCTGACTCTTTGCAACCACATGGACTGTAGCCCACCAGGCTTCTCTGTCCACGGGATTTCCCAGGCAAGGATACTAGAGTGGGTTGCCATGTCCTTCTCCAAAGGATCTTCCTGACCTAGGGTTAAAACTCGCATCTCCTGCACTGGCAGGCAGATTCGGTACCCCTGAGCCACCTGGGAAGCAAAGATAAATATAAAGGATGCTCAAAGTTTGTGTTCCCTACGTAGATGGAATGACTGCTTCTCAAAAGAATACTTTTTCATATTTTTAGCACAAATTATATTTGTAAAGGGGACTGTAAAACAAGAAGGTTTTCTATTTTTCTATGTTTTGTTGAAGAATTCCATTGGTGATTCATGAAGCAGGATATCAACATCATTATCCCTGACCTAGACTTTGAAATGTCCTGCATTTTTAATATGAATCCGTGTCCCTCTAGATTTACACATCATAATATATACATATGAAATGATCCTTTATTTTCCATAGAAGACATTTTCTAAATTACTGAAGTTTCACTTCTCACAATCAACATTATGCTCTGGTTTAAAATACTGTTAATCTAATTTACAAATAGGCATGATATTTAAAGCCATCTCTGTAACAGGTCTTCAGATATTTATGACATATTATTGAAAAATAAGTTAATGTCCAAGTTATGTATGTTTTAAAACAGTTCATCTTTTATTGTAAAATAATGCATTTTCTTTTAAAAATATTAAATAAAAGTGAAAAACATTATCTGGAAATATAATCATCCAGAGAGTCGTTAACCTGTTGAAGAAGAAAGAAAGAAAGTGAAGTCGCTCAGTTGTGTCCAACTGTTTGCGACCCCATGGACTGTAGCCCACCAGGCTCCTCCGTCCATGGGATTCTTCAGGCAAGAATACTGGAGTGGGTTGCCATTTCCTTCTCCAGGGGACCTTCCTGACCCAGGGATTGAACCCAGGTCGCCCACGTTTAACCTCTGAACCACCAGGGAAGCTACCGCACCCCAATTAACACACGTCCACATATTCATATACTCACAGACATATATAAGAGGTTTTGTTTATACACAAATACAAAATATGTACATTTATTCATATGACTCTGTGTGTTATTTGCACTTACATGCACAAACCACTAAGAGATCATATACATATTATTTTATAACTACCTTATTCAATCTACGCTAATTCTTTTTTCAAAAATATGCAATCTCTTCCAGTAAGTACTTTTCTCAGACTTCCCCAGACTTCTTTTTTTATACAAATTTGTCTCTATTTGGGGCTTCCTTAGTGGCTCAGTGGTGAAGAATCCACGTGCAATGCAGGAGACACAGGAGACTCGAGTTCAATTCCTGAAGGAGGGCATGGCAACCCACGCCAGGATTCTTGCCAGGACCATCCCATGGACAGAGGAGCCTGCTGGGCCATGGTCCATGGGTTTGCAAAGAGTCAGACAGGACTGAAGCAGCTGAGCATGCATGTCCACATCTCCATTTCAGCATCTCACCACTCCACACAATAGGGAATGCTTTCCAGCTGTGACAAGGCTGCGTGTGTCCATGCAGATTTTCAATGTTATGACAGTAATAACAAGTATGCAACCAAAAAGGATGTCCACATCCTTGAGCCTGCTCAAATACTGCCCTCCCTCTCTCCACACAAGTGACAAACAGTCCCACATCCTGGGTGAAATAGTCTATCAATAAAAAGACAAGACTGTACCACAGGGACTTATTGCAGACACAGAAATGGAGATGAGGACCTTGGTTCTCCTAACACATTCAGAATTAGACTCAAGAGAGAAAGAAGAAAGAAAGGGCATAACCCTGATTTATCCCAGTTCTTCTTCCTGCCAATATGCCAAAGATTTTCTACTCAGTACTCCTGGAAACTATGGTTTTGGGGGGGGGGGGTTGTTTGTTTTTCTTTTTTCTTTTTTTGGTTGTTTAGTTTCTGATATAAAATCTATTCCAGTCAAACTTAAAAGTCCCAAATTAAAACTTGATTTTAGCAAAGAAGCCACGTATGCAGAGCCAGTATTTCCATCGCTAAGGTGTCTCTCATTGTTCAGGTGACCGATGGGACGGAATGCAGGCCATATAGCAATTCTGTGTGTGTCCGGGGGAAGTGCGTGCGGACAGGCTGTGATGGCATCATTGGCTCGAAGCTGCAGTATGACAAGTGTGGCGTCTGTGGAGGAGACAACTCCAGCTGCACAAAGGTGGTTGGAACCTTCAATAAAAAAAGGTAATGTGAGAGAACCACTGCCCTTAACTGACCTGAACAAGACTTTCAGTTCAGTCGCTCAGTCATGTCCAACTCTTTGTGACCCCATGGACTGCAGCACACCAGGCTTCCCTGTCCATCACCAACTCCTGGAGTTTACTCAAACTCATGTCCATTGAGTCGGTAATGCCATCCCACCACCTCATCCTCTGTCATCCCCTTCTCCCACCTTCAATCTTTCCCAGCATCAAAGTCTTTTCAAATGAGTCAGTTCAGGTGTCTTTAGACTCTTGCAAAATTGATAAAGGAGGACTCGTTACATCCTAAGTTATCTGTGGGCATGTTACTCACCAGAGTTCTTGGCCTCCTCCAAGCAATAGAAATTGACTAGGGGGCAGACAAGAAATTCAGGCAAGGCTTTACTGGGGCCCCTGCTGATGCAAAAGGGAGCAAAAAACAAGCAACAGGTTCCCTTGTTTGCTCACTCCCCTGAGTGGGAGGAGCTCATTCTTTATATGGGGTGAGGGTAGGAGTGTGTCCATGGGCTGGCCAGAGGGGGACCTAGGTATTTTTCCCACCCTTCTGGTGGTATGATTCAGATGTTAAAGAATCTGCCTGCAATTCGGGAGACTACAGGTTCGATCACTGGGTCTGGAAGATGCCCTGGAGAAGCGGGAATGGTTACCCACTCCAGTATTCTTGCCTGGAGAATTCCATGGACAGAGGAGCCTGGTGGGCTACAGTCCATAGAGTTGCAAAGAGTTGGCCGCAGCTGAGCAACTGACACTCTCACTTTTCTGGTGGTGTGGAGTGAAGGGGGGCAGGCACAGGCCCCTGTTTTTGGCTCCATGCTCTTCAAAAGTGGCGGTTGGGTTTTTTGATCTCTGCGTATTTCTTGGGCCCAGAATTTGCCCCAGCAACACACGATCGATCACACATGCAGTGATTTTTAGTCCCATACAATTTCTCTGAGTTTTTTTGCTGGAGGAGAGGTGTGTCCAGGTGCAAGCATTGCAGCACTGCACCAAATCGCCCTGAGTCCCAGGCCCGTCCCAGAAGGAGGTTTAGCCAGGCCACCCTACTTAATGCTTTATGAATATGAGAAGGGAAGGCAAGGACATGAAATGAGCCTGGATGCCGACTGGAAACTCGTGGCACCTTTCGAAGCAGATGGAATGACAACGGCCGTGGCTTCAGGTTTTGTAGAGTGTGAAAAAGGCAAAGGAAAAATCTGTGACATTCCACTTGAGCCATACCTTGCAGATCTGTTATTCCTGAAACACAATTTAGGAAGAGATGACTGGTTTCCATCTTAACTACTTTTTTTTAAACAAATAAATGCTCTTTGGGCTATATTTTTCTTGAGAAAACATTTCTCAAACCAAAATGTAAGTGATCTGCAGTGGTGTTGAGGGCAAGCCTGTTTTTGAGTGCACTACCCTGGTTTCTGTCTACTCTATGAAGCATATCTGTTTCCTGCTCCCTCTCATGGTCCTTGATTACACTCTTGCTTTAAAAGTGTAAGTTTAGAAAGTAACCAGTTTCTGGCATGAAATATTATACTCTCAGCTAGGATGACTGAGTCAGCTAAAGAGTCTGCAGAAATGCAGAATTGCTTTTCCTCTTCACCAGACTACCCTTGCACTGTGTGGTATTGGTCAGATGGGACTTCCCAGGTGGCACAGTGGTAAAGAATCCGCCTGCCAGTGCAGGGGATGCCAGAGACACGGGTTTGATCCCCGGGTCGGGAAGATCCCCTGGAACAGGAAATGGCAACACGCTCCAGTATTCTTGCCTGAAAAATTCCATGGACAGAGGAGGGCTACTGTTCCATCGTGGGCTATAGTCCATGAAGTCACAAAGAATCAGGCATGACTGAGCACGCACACACCCTCACACACACACATCAGTCAGGCGCATCTGTATTCCTGAGGTTTGTGCTGTGTTCTGTGTAACTGGAGAGGAATATACAAGCCAAGTCAACAAAAAGCATTTCTAAAAACAAATCCCATGCCATGGTAATGTAAAAAACTAGAAGTGATCTTTGATATTATAAAAAAATATGTGGCTGGAGAATTAATTCTGTATTAAAATAGCCATTACAAATCTTGTTTGCTAGTGATATAATAATTATTCATCTAATGGTGTTGGACCACTAAGTCAAAAAGCCTGCAAGTCCAGTTATATTCTGCATTTCAGTATATTTCAAAGATGCAGGCACCTTAGAAATGATCCAGTCTAATGTTGTGCTTTATAAATGAGGGATTTGGGACTCTGAAAGTTTAAGATTTACGCAGTTTTACATGACAGTTTTACATGAGGAATGCCAAAGTAGAGGCTATAGTTTAGGTCATAAAAATAGGATGCACAAGCTATTTGTTAAAAAAAAAGAAAAAAAGAAGAGACAGAAAAAGAAGGAAGGGAAAAAATTCAGAACCAAAAGAGAAATAAAATTATTTTTTAAAAAATAGCTTATACGCTATGTATTCTTCCTATATCAACTTATAAGACTCTTACAATGCTAGATTTAGCTTTTAGGTTTTTTATGTATTTACAGCAAATAAACACGTATTTGCTGTCACACAAAAAGATGAAGGCACTCATGATAGCAACAAGAATGATGCACCATAAATCCTTGCAAATTGATTTGATCAAGATTAGAGTATGTGATGCAAATGACCTGTTTGAGTATCCTGAATAAATTATCTTGACATAGTTGATTGATAAAAAGGAACATTGATCTTGGAGCTGGAATATTTGCAGTCCAGCTCTGATTTAGTAATTCCCTGGCTACGTGGTCTTAAAGAATCACTCAACTTCTTTCCTATTAACATCCTTGAAAGTAGAATGGAAATAATAGTAATTATCTTGCAAATAAGTGTTTCTGTGAGAATCAAATGAGATTATGCATATTAAAATATTCCACTAAGTTCAAAACTCTTCAGGAACATGATCCTAATTTTAGTTCACTCCTCTCTCAATTTTCTTCATGTCACTAAAGGGCAATTCAGTCCTTCTACTGCCTAGGTCTAAAACCTTGAGCTGTCTTTCACACCTCATTTTCTGTCACAACTCACATCCATTCATCTGCAAATCAGTCCTACTTCCAGGGTGTGTCCCAGAATCCGGTTGCCCCTCACCAGCAGGAGGACAGACACCACCATCCTATGGTCATCCTGTTTGGCTGTATCAGTCCAGCCATGGACTGATACATCTTCCCATGGGTGGCTCCCCAGCCCATGGTTCTTCACTGTCTCTTCCTCACAGAGCAGAGAGACTCACCCCTTCATTACCTGAGTCAGCAGGTGGCATTCCTTGGCTCAACCCTTCAGTGGCTGCCATCTCACTTAGAGTCAGTGCACAAGGCTCTTTTGTAACCTGGGTGATGCCAAAAGCTTTGGTCCCTGCCCTGCTCCAAGTCTCTTCTTCCCTGGCCTCTTCTCTTGTTCTGCTCTAACATCCTGGACTTCCCAACTTCCCAACACTCTTCAAACATTGCAAGCAGGACCACGGGCACTGTTTCCTCTGCCTGGAACAGTTTTTGACAATGAATATAACCAATGCTTCCTCTAGAATTCCTTTAAATATCTGGTAAATGTAACCCCCATCACCCCCAGGCAGTGACTTTCTTAAATGAATTGGAGGGTCTCTCCCCCTTCTTCCTTGTTCCACTGTCTTCTTACTCTCCTCTCTTCTTCACAGCTCTTATCAACAGATATCATCGCATATTCTGTTTGGGGGTCTAACTCCCCCACTCTTGCTAGAATGTCACTTCCATGACAACATGTGTAGTATGTAAGAATGCACATATTCCTTCATGGCAGGTGCTGTTCTTAGTACTATGGAGAAAGCCCTGGACACAAGAAGATTCCCTTTGCAAATAGGTTCATCTGTACCATTTTTCTAGATTCCACATATATGCATTAATATAATATTTGTTTTTCTCTTTCTGACTCCATTCTGTATGAGACTCACTAGGTTCACCCATGTCTCTGCAGATGGCACAATTTTGTCCCTTTATATGGCTGAGTAATATTCCTATATTATATCTGTGTGTGTGTATGTGTGTGTGTGTGTGTGTGTGTGTGTATGTATATATGTACCACATCTTCTTGATCCATTCCTCTGGACATTTAGGTTGCTTCCATGTCCTAAATGGGAAGGAAATCCAAACAAGAGGGGATATATGTATAAAGAAAAAAGAAGACTCCTTGCCCTGCCATCCACACTTCATACTTCATACATCCATAAAAACAGCTGCATTCATTCATGGTGACCAAGGAAACTGGTTAATGCCCAGAGTTTAAATGATACCAAGCAGAGTGAAAGAAAACAAATAAGGAATAAAAGGAAATCCTATTTTACTGAAGCATCAAGAAATCAGCACACGAATCTTCACACTGCCCAGTGCCTTGAGCGCCTCAGTCTGGAGACCTGCCCAGGGCTGAGTTCCCAGTGATTCTCATGAGTACGAGTCAGACTCCAAGAACAAGGATTTAAAGAAGCCTGTGCTGTCTGAGTCTCTCAACCAACATTCTTTACTTTCTTGACACTCTGTTTGGTATCACTTAAACTCTGAACATCACCAGAACATAGTTTCATTTAACTGTTAGGAAGTTCAGCTGATTGAACTAAAGTTTCCATGCATAGGGACGTGATAAAAGGAGCAGAAATTGTGAGTCAAATGTCCTAGCACTGCCACTGGTTAACTCTAGTGAACTTGGGCAAATTACTTTAATACATCTTCCCTGATAGGCTTTTTTTTTTTTTTTTCCAAACACGGATTTGAGTTTTGTTTAGATTTAGCGGTGTAATTCATTTACACATTGAATTTTTCTGCTTTCCCTTATTAAAAATTTATTTATTTTTAATTGAAGGATACTTGCTTTATAGTATTATGTTGGTTTCTGCCAAACATCAACATGAATCATCCGTAAGTAGGCATATGTCCCCTTCCTCTTGAACCTCCCTCACCATCCCAGCCATCTAAGTAGCTGCAGAGCTCCAGCTGGAGTTCCCTGAGTCATACAGAAAATCCCCATTGACTATCTATTTTACACATGATAATGTATGATTTTGTCGTTGTCACTGTTCGGTCACTTAAGTCATGTCCAACTCTGCGACCCCACAGACTGCAGCACACCAGGCTCACCTTTCCTTCATTATCTCCCAGAGTTTGCTCAGATTCATGCCCACTGAGTTGGTGATTCTAACCATCTCATCCTCTGCCGCCCCCTTCTCCTTTTGTCTTCAATCTTTCTCAGCATCAGAGTCTTTTCCAATGAGTCCGCTCTTCTTATCAGGAGGCCAAAGTACTGGAGCTTCAGCTTCACCATCAGTCCTTCCAATGGATAGTCTGGGTTGATTTCCTTTCGGATTGACTGGTTAGATCTCCTTTCAGTCCAAGGGACTCAAAAGTCTTCTCCAGCACAGCAATTTGAAAGCATCAATTCTTTGGTGCTCAGCCTTCTCTGTGGTCCCTCTCTCACATCCATACATGACTACTGGAAAAAGCATAGCTTTGACTAGATGGACCTTTGTCAGCAAAGTGATGTCTCTGATTTTTAATACACTGTCTAGGTTTGTCATAGCTTTTCTTCCAAGGAGTAGGCATCTTTTAATTTCATGGCTGCAGTCACTGTCAACAGTGATTTTGGTGCCCCCCAAATAAATTCTGTCACTGTTTCCACTTTTTCCCCTTCTATTTGCCATGAAATTATGAGACCAGATGCCATGATCTTCATTTTTTGAATGTTGAGTTTTAAGCCAGCTTTTTCACTCTCCTCTTTCACCCTCATCAAGGTGAAAGGCTTTTTAGGTAAGATGGAATATTTTTCTCCTGGCTTAGTTTGAAGCCATTGTAGAAACATCTCATCTCTTAATATTAGACACTTAAAAAAAAATCCTGTGACAAAATCTAATCCAAAATGTACTACATAAGTAAAGTTAATAAGTCACATTGAATAGGTAAGCCATATCGTCAGCATTGCATCTTCTCTCTTCAAGACAGTAAGAAGCTCTGCCACCTGCCTGGCCATCACTGGAGATCAGATGCCCAGTACAAAGGGGCCTTCCCTGGGAATAAGCCTTCTCTCCAACTCAGAGGAAATGCTTGAGTGGGAAACACACTTGGATTTTCCATATATGGATCAGTTGCCCCATATCCTCTAAACTTGAGTAAGAATTTGAAAGTAAATAAGTAAATTTCACACACATTAGTCAAACTGCACAAGCAAAGTGTTTGTTTATATTTAAATAGCTAGGAAGCTAAAACATATGGAGACATTAATATAATTACTTAGACAAAGATTTTGGCAAGAGATGCCTCCTCTGCACTGGTGTAATGCCTTAGTGCTCAGCTAACTTTCATCCTAGCCTTTTCTGCAAACTTATGGGTATCTGAGATACTTTTACCTTTGCCCACTTTCCTGAGCAGAAGATGGATCATTAGAAATTTATCTCATTTGTTGCTCATCATAAAAACCTGAGTCAATCCACCATTAAGTTTTGCAGACCCTAATAATTCTGGGAAATTTGCTAAGGCATTAATGTTTCTTTTTTTTTTTTTCCCCTTTTGATACTAGTAAGCTGTGGTTACCCAGTTATAGAATTTTATGTTTTATTTTCTGTCCTGCCCCAGCAAATCCAGAGTGTTAGGTAGAAACAGAATCAGAGCCTCCACCCTGTCTCTAGTCTAACAAATAATTAAGCCCATGGTTTCTCAACTAGTCTGAGCATTGGAACAGTGGGAGGAACTCCAAAAGTACTGCTGCCTCTGACCCATCCTGAAAGATGAGGATTTAACTGCCTTGGATTCAGATTTGCAGGCTTTGAACTTTTTCCAAGATCCACATGTGATCTTAATGTGCAAACAAGCTTGAGGAACGTTAATTGAAAGATTTCTGTGAGATTGAGGGTAGATTTTTGTTGGTTTCTGTTTATGTGTATCCCATTTTGTGCCAGAAAGAACATAGAGTAGCTTTGTAAATTTTGAACATCATAATAAAAATGTATGCAGGACATCCCTTCTTAGTTCAGTGGTTAAGACTGCAGAAGGCACAGGTTCAATCTTTGGCCAGGGAACTAAGATCCCTCATGACTCATGGTGTGGCCAAAAATAATAAGAGAAAATTTTAAAAATAAATAAAAATATGTTGTTTAAAGAAATGTATACAATATGATAGTCTAACTATAAAATATATTTTGCTATAAGAAAACCAATGTTTGAAACCAATTTTAAGCTTTAATAAATTGAAATTTTTTAATTTTAATACATTAAAACTGCACTAAGATAAGGTAATGTGCCAGTGCTAATCATTCAGTCAGCGTCCGACTCTTTGTGAGCCCATGGGCTCCTCTGTCCACGGAATTCTCCAGGCAAGAATACTGGAGTGGGTAGCCATTCCCTTCTCTCCATTCCCTTTGATACCCACCCAGGGATCAAAGCCGGGTCTTCCACACTTTTAGAAAATGTCTATTTACGTTATCTGTTTGTTAAGCGTTTTACTTATTTTTTTTTTCCTTCCTCCCCCCTCTCCCCGTTCTCTCTCTCTCCCCTGCCGGACATCTCTGCTTCCAGTAAGGGTTACACTGACGTCGTGAGGATCCCCGAAGGGGCGACTCACATAAAAGTCCGCCAGTTCAAAGCCAAAGACCAGACCAGATTCACTGCCTACTTAGCCCTGAAGAAGAAAAACGGTGAGTACCTAATCAACGGCAAGTACATGATCTCCACTTCGGAAACCATCATCGACATCAACGGGACCGTCATGAACTACAGCGGCTGGAGCCACAGGGACGACTTCTTGCACGGGATGGGCTACTCGGCCACCAAGGAAATCCTCATCGTGCAGATTCTTGCCACAGACCCCACGAAAGCCCTCGATGTCCGCTACAGCTTCTTCGTTCCCAAGAAGTCCGCTCCAAAAGCAAACTCTGTCCCCAGCCAGGGCAGCAATAGCGTGGGCTCGCCCAGCCCGCAGCTGCAGTGGGTGACGGGCCCCTGGCTTGCCTGTTCGCGAACCTGTGACACGGGCTGGCACACCAGGACGGTGCAGTGCCAGGACGGGAATCGGAAGCTGGCGAAGGGCTGCCCCCTCTCCCAGAGGCCTTCCGCGTTCAAGCAGTGTTTGCTGAAGAAATGTTAGCCCTGTGGTTACGGCCTGCTGCCGGGACGGCTGAAAGGACGGCTCTCGGATGCAGGCGCGGGGGACACAGGGTCCCCCGAAAGCGCAGAAAGTCACACCCTGCAGTGTCATCGCCCACGGGGAGTCCGATTATGGGCAGAATCTGCCCTCAGCGACCAAAACGAAGGTGTGCACTGCTTCGTGGGACAATGGTGACCTTGGGACGTGGAAACACTTGCGAGTTCTTGAACATCCCCTGGGCCGACGAGATTGCAGAAACACGGATGAATGTAGAAACGGGACATTCGAAGATGGCAGAGCAGTCTCTCCCTCGTCACCTACCTCTTATAGAATGTCTTCAGAGGCATCATAATCATTTTCATGCATATTATTTACACAGCTTATTTTTATTGTTTGTAAACACATTCTTCCTTGGTATGTCACTTTATATCAGTTGGTTCTATTAAAATATATATATATATATTTCTATATAAAAAAAGTATTTGACCAAAGGAGGTCTGCAGCTATTTCCACTCTTTCCAGTTTCCAGAAAGAGCTGTGGATGTTTTACTGGAAATTAAGAACTTGCTGCTGTTTTAAAAAGAGTTAGTTATACGTTCAGACTACGGGAGATATAATTTTTGTCAAAAACCATTTTGACAGCAAGCATCTTCTGAGACATTCTGAAAAGAAAAAAGGGTCTCAGTGTATCTAGTCATTTAAATATACGCAGGGGTCCGTTTATTTAAATCACTAACTGCCTGTATTTTTTCAGGCAGCCAGACAAATTAATGTATCATGAGGAGGTAGAAGAAGCATTTGTGTGTGCATCAGTATTCAAAGGTCTGAAAATTAATTTCCTCCTGTTAGAATTTAAAAGTAAAAACAAACAAAGTACCTGCTTCACAGTATTTTCAAGTTATATTTTCGCAACTGCTTTCTCTCTCTGTGGCTCCTATCTGATATCTCACAATGTGTCGTATCCATAGAGAACACACAGCAAAGTTTTCAATCACATTCAACACTGGTATACCTCTTACCAGCAAAGCCTTTATAGTGCATTTTGTTTTCGCTCGTTTCTTTGCTTTGTTCAAGGGTTCTTAACCTACGATGTTTTGGACTTGTTGACTTGGTAGTCAGCCGCATGTAGAAGTGGTTATTGTTAATGTGGCTAGTGCAAAAAAAAAAAAAAGGTTAATATTAACAAGACTGTTTCCACACCATAGGCAATAATTCTTTGCATATTTTTTTTAATCCAAGCATACTGATACTCTTAAGATTGTTCCCAGTTAGAAAGCATTTGGTTGTACCAGTGAGTGATGAAATGTGATGGCCTTTGCAAAGTTTGCTCTTATTTCCATAGCCTGTTTAGGTAGATTGTGAGTTGGAATAGTTAGGCATGGAAAATTTTTCCAGCCATCTGCATAGAAACTTCATAGGCAATAAACCACATCCCTCTATGCCATGGTTCAGAAAAACCAAAATATTACATTTTATTTGGTTTTTCTTTGTGAAATAACACAAACAATTTGCTTTTATGAAATTTTCTAATAATCCTACCAAATGTGCCCTATTATTAGAGATTTGCTTATAAGGATATTAGGGAACTACTATTTGAGTTTCCTTAAGCTCATGAGGGTTTATTTTTGTCATAACATATTTTTAATATAAAAGAATTATGTAATTGATCTTGCTATAGCACATTCATTTCAGTAGACCAAGGGAATGGATATCTCTGTGTTTTAAGTATTTGCTCAAGAAATCAAAAGTGTTAATCCTTCTTTGGGTTTTCGTAGGCTGACTTTGCTTTAGACATGGTCCTTTTTCTTAATCAAATACCAGTTAGAGAATGGAGGGCTGTACAAGACTGGAAACCTCCATTTGATGAAGGTACCAGATATGAGGCACTGAGAGCAAAGCTGTTCACGTCAGTAGAAAAAACGAAAACCAGCACTGATCATTTGACTATGCCGAGAGAATTAACAGACCAGCTTTACTTTTTCCAATATTCAGAATAACTTGAATCAAGTAACTCAGCTATGGCAATTTTTTACTCTTTTGTGGTTGTATTGGCAGTAACATTAAAAAATAATTGAAGAGCAAACGTGATTGTCTCCTATTCTACTTCTCCATACTGTATTCATAGATTTTAAAATATGATTTATCAATGATTCCTTTTTTTCCCCAAATACCGAAGTTTTACACTTCTCATAGGAGCAATCCTAGAGAGTTTAAAATAAATAAATAAACCACTATTCCATGCTTCTATCTAAGGGGCTTTTTTAGTTTTTTTTTTTTCCCTTGTGTGGGTGTCAGTAGATTGACTAAGGAATGTATGTCTAAACTCCTGAGAAAATATATAGACTGGAAACTGAAATTTAGAGAAATGGAGTGTTTAGTAGACACAGAGAATGATAAGCAAAGGGAAAATCCTCAATATATGCAAAGTAATTTAGTTCAGTTTCAGGTTGTGTTGCGCCTTTTCTTTTTCCATAGCTGCATCTTGAATTAAGAGTGTAAAATTCAGGATGCTAGAAGCCACTTCCTAAAAAGAAAAGACTTTAAAAGAGTCTGTCTGAAAAAGCTCAGGTTAGTAAGAATCTAATCACACTCACAAAACTAAACACTCCAGATTGTTTCAGTAGATAAAAGGGAGCCCAGAACAATACAACATTTATTTCTTCTGGAACAGAAAATGTCAAATGAAGCCTTACCATGTTGTTTAGAGGTTTAAGGACATTGTTTTAATTTATTCAACCAATTCAATGTCCTCTGCCTTCCTGTGGAAACAGTTTTAGCACATTAAGAATGAAGGGATTAATCACAGACAAAAAAAGTTGCAGCACTGAAAAAAAAAAGTAATTTATTGTTTTTGCAACTGGTATGTGAATTTGTGTGATAAAATTATTTATTCTTATTTAACAAAAATATGTGCAAATTCTTCTATATTTAAGATGTTCTGCTGTTGTCCTACTTTTTAATTTATGCTTCATGTTTGTGTATAAAGTACACTTTGTGAATTTACATAATATATGGCACTGGTTGCTTTTGTATTTTTTTTTTTACTGAAAGCTTTCTGTGTGAAACAGGTGTATATGTGTATATTCCTCATGTATTCTTATTCCGATACTGTCCCTTTCCTTACTAAGGACATTTTAAATTTAATCTTCCGTGGCTACTAGTATTCATCACTTGTAGGTATGTTAACAGATCTTTGGGTTCCTAATCTTCCCAAACCTCAGCTAAGAAACACATTTATTCAAGGAACTAAGGTCTAAATTTAAAACTAGAGTATATAGGTAGCCTGGAAGCTTCCAGTAGAAGCTAAGACAATTCAGAATCAGGTCCATACACTTTCACTGACGAACTTGGACAAGGAGCTGTTGATATATCACAACCTTCAAATGATATCAATGATAATAAAGCAAAATAGTGTCTTCTGCTGCTTTAGAAACCCTTCTTAACATTAATAGCATTTCCTCTCAGCATCTTTAGGAATTTATAAATAAGAGTAAACAAATCGGATTTCAATGATTCAGATGTTTGTAGTCATAACTGTTTCTGCAAGTGTGGGATGTCCATTGATATGATATGATGTTTTATTATTACAAGTTAATCTTTTGGAGGGATAATAGGATTTGGGACAAGCAGGGACACCTATGATCACACCAGCTTGCCCCAGACTATAATTTCACGATTTGGTCACAGTAAGGCAAAACACCTTTGGACACACAGTTGACCAGATCAATCTTTGGTTCTGATGTTTCTCCCCTTGGCTCCTTCTTTATTAACAAGGTCATCTTAATGGTTTAGGAGATGACAGCAGCCAGATCCAAAGAAGTTCAGGACTTGTGCTATAACTTAGAGTTCACTGTGAAATAAGATTGAATTTAACAATCGCTGGATTTTGCTAATAGCTTGTGGCTGAGTATGAAATCTTATCTGCATGATGAGTGACTATTATTAATCTGTTAATAGTCAAACTTGAAGTCATAAAAACACCTTATATTTTTTTAACATTTCAAAGCTACAGAGTAACTTCTGAGTTACTGTTTTATTCTACATGAATGACCTTGAGAACAGAAATGGCCATTTAAGTGCAGGGTCAAGGTGATCTATCATATAGACACACAGAAAGGGAACTTGTAGGTTTTCTTTATTATTTTTCTTATTTGCCAACAACCTGTAGTTTTAGGTTATCAAACAGGTAGACCAACTAAGTGGTAGATCAACTAGCCCACTGAAAAATACAATCTTTCTAATAGCTTCCTGTTTGCGTGAACTACGGGGCTTCCTTTGTAGCTCAGCTGCTAAAGAATCTGCCTGCAATGCCTGAGATCTGGCTTTGATCCCAAGGATGGGAAGATCCCCTGGAGAAGGGAAAGGCTACCCACTCCAGTATTCTGGACTGGAGAATTCCATAGACTGAATAGTCCATGGAGTCGCAAAGAGTCAGACACGACTGAGCGAGTTTCACTTTCACTAGCATGAACTACAGAAATGACCTATCAAGTTACAGCTCTTAAAACATATCAGTCTATACTGCATACTGAATGTCCTATTTAATTAATGTATGAGAACATATTGAAACACCAACCTATGCATCAGTGATTCAGAAAATGCAAACATACATAGTGTTCAGATCAGAAAAGTATTCCATAGTTGTCAATGCAGATCTTGTAGAAAAGATAAAGGAAAGTGTTGTTAGAAAATGTTGGTTTTAAAATGGAATAGGACTGAAATATATATATATTCATTAACTTGCACTCTCTTAATGTTCTATCACTAAAAGTAAGTTTGCTGTCTGTGGTCCGTATCTTACATCTCCACCAACTGGTCCATGTGCCCTGCCATAGGTCAAGTGAAAAAAATAAATAATGGCCCATCATCCTATTGTGGGTTCGATCCTTGGGTAGGGAAGATCCCCTGGAGTAGGAAAATGGCAACCCACTCCAGTATTCTTGCCTGGAAAATCCCATGGGCAAAGCAACCTAGTGGGCTACAGTCCATGGGGTCTCCAAAGAGCTGGACAAGACTGAACACACACCTCACACATCTTCCTATAAGGCACTGCCGCAGCAGAATGATCCAAGTCTAACACTGTGAGGACAACTGTGATTTACAAATAAAACAGGGCATTTTTTTTTTACTTTTCCTTTGGCACATCCAATGAACAATTGCAATCTTTATCAAGGTGCTAGCATTTTCAGTGACCCAACTGCCAAATGCAGTGTTTTTGAGTTACTATTTTATTCTACATGATTTCTTGGTTGGCAAGAAAGAGCTCTTTAAGTCTTTTTGTCAAAGCTGGACACAACTTGATAATCAAAGTTTGGAAAATTGTACCTAATGGTCATTCAGATTGGCAGGGTTTAGTGACAGAAGCTCCATATACATTGAGGATATTTAAGGTGACATCCAAACTTGAAAAGCATCAGGTCGCCATAGCCCAGTTTTAGATGAGTCACATTCTTTCATGCGCTAAGCCATCAGCATTCCTTTCAACAAACTTGTTTCAAGTTTCTTATACACAAGGGAACTTTTGTGTATATTTGGCTGGACTTCAAGTTTTGCAGTATTTTATGTCTGTACACTTGGCTATTCTATCTCCATCTTTTCTGTAACAATTCACAACATGTTAGAAACATTTCACCCCATGCTGAGTATATCTAAGATAGAGTATCATACTGTGTGACTTTGTGAAAATAGACTTTGGATTAAGAAATTTATATTGTCTCTGGATGGTATTTTTGCATTACACACTCCAGCGTAACATAAATGTAGGAGTTGACAAATACTGCTTACATTTTAATAAGATCATTCATCAGAGGAAATCATGCATGTGCTTTGTAAATAGACTGCAGATAACTAAACAGATTGCAAGAATATGTTGGATTTGATATAGGCAGTGGCCACGGATATTTGATTTCTATATTAGTGTCTGTGAGTCAAGTCAGGTAATAAACCTAAATAGGTGTAGAACTGATATTTTTAAGTCTTGAAAGATGCTTTCAAGGCAGAGTAAAATATTGAAGATTTACATACTGTATACAAGCCGTAAAATGTACGCTGCTTTCTACTCTCAGTTTTCCAGAAGTGATGGCATTTTTCAGTAAATACAATGCTGTTGGAAAACCAAAAAAAAAAAAATCTTGGAAAACTAAGACGGGTCTTGTTTAAAATGTCTCTTCAGCTTTGGCATATTTCAAACCTGAAACAGCTATTGAAAGCGTTACTGTGTTTTGCAGCCTGCATTCCACAACTGCTCTGTTATTCAGGTAAACCACTTGAAATAAGATGTTTGGGACCTTTACTGTAATATTTTTCATTAGGAACAATATCCTATTTTGTAAAGCATTTCCTTATGTGTGACTTTAAACTGTAAAATTAAACATTGGTTTTGTGGTTTCAGTGGGCATAATAAATGTAAATTGTAAAATAGGTTAAAGTATGTACGGCATATAATATGTTTTAGAGGTAGAAACTATTGTCTATTTATTCTTAATTTTCTCATAACACCAATAGGACCAAGTCAGGTCTTAATGAAGCCCCAGGTTCTCTATAATTTCTACCATCTCTTATCCACTTTGGCCCAGGCCTTTAATAGTTTGTCTATCTTAAACTATAATGAACTTTTGCTTCAAGTTCTTCTTACCAGACCCTAAATCTGTCTAGTTTCAAACTTCTGATGTTAAATTGGAACCACAAGCAGCATAACCTACCCACTTCATCCTTACTTTTATAAAGACAAATGTATTCTAGCTATAAAACTAAAGAGCCAAAATAATAATGCATGCATCGAAATTTAAAAGGAATTAACATTCACTAGCAAAACGCTATTTTTTGGTATCAAATTTATAGCATTAATATTCTGAAGGACATGAATTCCTTCTAAAACTGAAATCATTACTAGTTAGTGTACATTACAAACACTGAATTTCTCTCTCTTATCAAATAGTACTTCAGAATTGTACTTTAAATTTTCTTCTTGGTAGGATGTATAGTGTTGAAAGAAATAATTTAAAAAACTTGAACATTTAGAAGTCTGGTATATTATAATCTAAGATTATTGAACACCTCTCGTGTCAGGCACAATAGTAAATACCTCACAATTTTCTCCCAGGTTTTCCACTCCATGACCCTTAGGACACTGGTCTTAAGATCCCAACATTGCAGATGGCCCTCAAATCATAATTGTCAGTGATTGTCTAGCTGTCACCAAATACCACACACTAGTATAATAACTTAAATATTTGTTATCAATTATTGGCTTTTTAAAGTACTAGGAGTCTGAGGGAGGGGTTGCAGGGTGCATGGAAGAATGTGTGAGATTGGGGGGTGCTGGGGGAGAATTTAAATGACCTAATGTGTGGGCCCTTGAGTAAAAACAAGAGTGATCCTAAAATTCCAATTAAAATGGCATGGAAACTGTGGAGAATTGGTCAAACAGTGAGAATAGAGACAAGAGCTTAGAGTGTACAAAGAGCTGTTGTTTAAGGAGAGAGAATTTGATTTAGAAAACCAGTAACTGGCTGGAAGGGGAAAAACCACTTTGGTATTTAATCTTACAAACTCCTTCACATTAATATTGAGTTGGTTCAGGCAAAGTAAAAAGTATAAAAGTGGTCCGGAGGGTAGTTTTTAGATTAGGAATAAAATGAACAAAGAAGATGGTTCAAAATGAAACCATAGGCATGTGAAAAATCCAAACCATCTTTAATTTCTAGATTCTCTGGAGTCTTTCTTGATATATTGGGCTGGCCAAAAAGTTCTTTCAGGTTTTTCTGCAAGATGTTATGAACTCTTTGACCAACTTAAAACATATCTTGAGAGCAAAGTCTTTTTGTTTCTTTCTTCACTGCCATCCCATCAGCTACCCTGAAAGTACCTGGCAAAAATAAATAATAAGTACTTGCCAAATGAAGGAAAGAGGAAGGATTGGATAACAAACATGTAGATAATCGTCACTAAAGGGATTCAGAAAATGGTCAAAGACATCATAGCAAATGGGCAGACAATGAAATATATTTTTTTTTTTTTGGTAATGAAAATATTCTAAATGAGGAGCGCTGACACTTTAGACAAAAGGTCAAGGATGAAGGGAAACAAAAGCAGATGCATGGTAGCTCCTTAGTTCCAAGACAGATCTTTAGTTCCTAGGATGACATGTTGTAAAGGAATTCTAAAGATGTCCCTGCATAATTCCCAACCCTTGATCATTCAATCAAATGCTAGTCCAGACACTGCTGTAAAGGTATTTTGCAGATGGAATTCATGCTACTAACCTCTCTAATTCAAGAGAGGAAGGTTACCTTGGGTTAACTGGGGATGGGGTGTAGGGCTCAAAGTAATCAAATAAACTCTTAAAGACAGGAAAGAAAGGCAGAAGGGCAAATCAGAGAAATTCCAAGAATGAGAAGGATTCCATGCATCACTGCTGACTCTGAAGATGGAGAGAGGGAGTCAGGGGCCAAGGAACATAGAATCTAGAAGCTGAGAACAATCCCCCAGTTGACAGCAAGAAAGAAAACAGGGACCTCGGCTCTACACCTGCAAGACACTGGATTCTGGCAACAGCATGAAGTTCAGAATCAGAGACATCCTCAGAGCCTCCAGAAAGGAATGCAACTCTGTTGACACCTTGATTCCAACCTGGTTACACCCAAACCGGAGACCCAACTGAGCCAAGCTGAGCCTGATGTTTTTCAGTCAATAAGTCATGTCCGGCTCTTTGTGACCCCATGGACTGCAGCACACCAGGCTTTCTTGTCCTTCACCATCTCCCTGCGTTTGCTCAAACTCATGTCCATTGAGTCAGTGATGCCATCCAACCATCTCATCTTCTGTCACTCCCTGCTCATCCTGCCCTCAATCTTTCCCAGCATCAGAGTCTCTTCAATGAGTCGGTTCTTGGCATCAGGTGGCCAAAGTATTGGAGTTTCAGCTTCAGCATCAGTCCTTCAAATGAAAATTCAGGATTTATATCCTTTAGGATTGACTGGTTTGATCGCCTTGCTGTCCAAGGGACTCTCAAGAGCCTTCTCCAACATCACAGTTCGAAAGCATCAATTTTTTGGTGCTCAGCCTTCTTTACGGTCCAACTCTACATCTAAACATCTATTATTATTTCACCATAGAATTGTAGATAGAAGATAATAAGCTGGTGGTGTTTTAGCCTGCCAAGTGTATAGCAATTTGATATGGCACTTACAGAAATCTAGAGTGGAGTATTAGAAAGGCTACCAGTTTAGACCATTAATCAGAATGAACAAGGTTAGGAACCAGTTCTTGGGATTATGGTATAAGAAGGGGGAACGCAAGAAAAACAGAATCTGACTTGCTAAAATAGGCACAAAGGCTTGAGATCAGACCCTCATCTAAGCTCACTTTGACATGGAGTCGCTTGGGCTGCTGGAAAAGTAGTCCAATATATACACCTTGACTCAAGGACAAGATGAGCTAAAAAACTTGAGGGGAAGTGAGAATCTGTTGCTACAGATTAGAACAAGTGAAAACAGGTTTAAAACAGGGGCAGAAGGGGTAGGAGTTCATGGAATAGAGAAATTTATTGCCTGAAACCTTGTTCTCCAAAATGCAGCTAAGAAATCTTTTATTGACAATAAATCAGTGAATAAAAGTTTTGATCAAATAAGTCAAAGTTTTAATAAGGATGTTCTGAGTATAAATTGCTATTATTGAACCATTCCCAAATTTTGTGGTTTAAGACTACAATGTATTGAAGCTCATGATATGGTGAGTCAGACCTCAGTTAAGTGATGGGCCTGCTACACATACCAACTGGAGTTATTCGATGAGATTCATCTGTAGCTGGACTGGACTAGAGGGTCCAAGACAGGTTCACCCACAAGTCTGGCATCTTGGCAAGGACAGCGAGAAGGTTGGGTTCAGCTGGAGCCCTCCTTTTTCACGTAGTCTCAGGGCTTTCCCTGAGGAACCATCTTTTCTGCTGGTTGCGGTC